CGCGAGATGACTATGGATAGCTATATTTTTTTACCAAAATTGGCACTTTGCGATATTGTTAAGAATTTTTCGAACATTTTAATAATTGTCAAGTAGCATACGCAAAAAGCCGCATAAATCTGAAAATCAAGAGGTGTGAAGTATTTGGGATGCCCATTTAGCTGATGATGACCCGAACGCCTTCGCCTGCGTCTCTGATTCTCTCCGCGCCAACATTGCCAACGCCCTCACCAGGGTCACCCAGTACAATGCTAAGGTATGTATTTTTTTCAAAAGTATCAAAACTTCCATGTTTTCCAGGGAATCCTCCAAGCCCTCCAATACAACCTCGGCCTCCAGGGATGGGCCATGATCGTCGCCGACTTCCAGTTCGAGGCCAGCGAGATCTTCCAGGCAAATGATTTTTGATTGGTTTGAAAATAATTTTAGGACATCAACTACTGCGACTATGTTGCGCAGGTTGGCAACAACTACCACAGCATGTGTCTCGCCAAGATTGACACCTCCAGCTAATTTGCTTTTGCTTGAATAAAGAAGTCACAGATCATTTAAATAGTAGCAATTTGAAAATAGAAAGCGATTAGAATTTATGGGTGGTTGCGTTTTTCATGTATGCTGATTGTATTAAGTTTTATTTCCCAAAATTTAATACCAAACCGGCGATTAAAACTAGCACTCCCACTTATCATATGAATGGATCTCAGGATCATACGGTTTTCCTTCGATTTCAACGTAAAGTCCGTTATCGCCATCGTGGCGGAGTCGTCGTGTGTAGACAGTGGCCTCTGTAGATACCGGCTCGTCGGAAAATGGCGCATTCGCTACTCCCGCGCTGAAAAATGCAGATAGGAATTAAACACCATAATTCCCTGATCCAAAAAAAGTACGCGTAATCTAATTAAAAAAAGAATTAATCCGATTAAGCTGGACTTACTGCAGGATGATTTGTTCCCATTGCCCGGGGTAACTAGTTTTATATTGATTCGGGACAGGTTCCGCGACATTTTTGCGAAGTTTATCGGAGAGACTAAAATAGAAAGATTACCAAAACAAATTAGAAAAGCCTTTGTGAACGCAATTTATAAAAATTAAATCTCACCCAGAGCCGATGCCGGAATCTTTGCGAGCGCTCGAGGTGGCCTGCATCTTATTCGTATTGGAACGGGCGGGTGCTCTTGGAGAAAAACTGGGGATCCTGCAAAAAGTTTACAGAATCGTTTCTTTCACTTACTTTGTTGTGAGCCCCGGCGGCGAAGCTAGTGGGCTGTACGGAAGTCTAGACATTCCAGTCTCAACTTCTTGATCGGCGCGCTACAAATGAGAGATATAAATCAATCGACTAAATGACGCATTGGATTACTTGAAAAAATGAGGGGTCTAAAAGGGTCTAAAAAGGCGCGGGAACGCCAGCGGTTTGAAACTTGTTTTGGTAAGTACAGTAGGTAATTTGGTATCCCCTAATCTTTTAAAATTAGGTAAATCTGTGAAATTTGCATATTGTACAAATCCGCCTTAAACGTGGTTTACGACAATTAAAATTTCGGGTTTCTCGAGAAAAATTTTTAAAAAATGTCCTTACCGCTGTATCCGGTGAAGGTGTGTTACTTTTCCGGATTTCCTTGGTACGAAAACCTGGAGGAGATGTGTACGTTGGTCGTGGCTCAGGTTGACGCGCCATTTCAGCCTTCGTGACAGAGGCTTTCTGGGCATTCTCCCAAATCGCGTTACTCCAGGTTCTGAAATTAATCCATTAAAGGGATAGGGGCGGCATAAGTCAATCGATTACGCGCGGGAAAGAAAATGTCTCTGCGCCTCTCCCCTGGGCGCCCTCTCTCGCCGCGCGACCTGCTGAACCCCCCTCCCCAAGGGGGGTTCGACAGATGCCGTCCTCATCTCTTTAAGCGCTTTCCGTTCAAAACTTACAAACTCTTCTCCATCTTTTCCTGTTCGTTCAGATAAAACGTCTCAGGCGAGGGCTGGAGACGCTCATTCGTCGGTTGCTGCCGCGTTGCGGCGGGCCGAGGATTCTCGTGGGTGAATTGGCAGTATGCACCATATGTGCACTTGCCAAATCGTTGGAATTCAATGCAAATCTCTTTGAAGAATGGTTTGACCTGTAGGTTCTGCGAGGGCAGGGTCCAGTAATCACGATCATCAAACTAAAATAAAACTTAATGTAAAACATTATGATTCGCTTTCTTCGCTAGGAAAAAGCAGAATACACTGGGAAAGCCGTACACCATAACAACAATAAAATCGAATCCTTTTCATATTCTTGTCATGCTAATTCGGAAAGAACTATCCAGAGTTAACTATCTAGGTCAAAACAGCAAGTCAAAAACTTACCTTGTTTAACGCATTCCATCCCAATTGAGTGTTTGCAGTTTGCTGGATATTGCGAAGAAGATAATTGTAGAAGGGTTGATTTTCCATCTTGGTTGTGCGGCTTGGCGGGTTATGAGAATAGAATGACGAATGTTGCGCAAGGGAATGGCTCTAAATAGTGTGTCGCGACCGGAAAAAGGGCCCGAGGCCGTTTTCAGTACCGGCGGGCAGATGCGGGGCCGCGTCCCGTCCAGTGATAACCTGTAAAATTACGAGAGTGGGCTAGCTGCATCTGCTTGCCTATTTGTGCGATTTCATCACCCGGCCTGGGAAAGCTTGAAAATCTTTAAAAATATTGAAATTAACACGGACCCAGCGGCTGCATTGTCTTGTTAAACCCTTTAAAAGGCCGTTTGCGAGAGACCCGAACAATGCTTGGCACAGTTTTTTCGACCCCGTTTTTTCGACGGCTTCGGAAAGAGCATGGTCGAATTGGAAGGGCTGCATAGTGTTGGAAGTTTAAAACGATAATTTTTGGGGTTTAAATTGGAGTCAAAGTTGCAGACACTCAAAAATTATCTCGAAAACTACTGAACTAAATTGGCTGAAAATTTGTAACAATGCCTAATTTGGGATGGGGATCATTTCTTTAATACATCGTGAAGCACGAAAATGAGCGGAACATAGAAATATAACGTACCCGAAACAGTAATTTTAGATTTTCTATTTTACGGGTATCCGAGGGTAACTTCTTTTTACTATAGAAAGATGCGCCAGGAAATTCTGCATTGAATGATATATTTTTCATTTTACCTTCCGGTTCCCTAGTTCCGCTATAAAGCATTTACTGCGCGCAAAAATTTATTATATAATTATATTTAATCGCATTTACAATTCGGCTTCTAAACATAGGCGGAGATCCGGGAGGAATCGAACTCGGACCCTTCGCCTGGAAGCCCTCTCTGGAGCCGTGGTGGATTGCATGAGTGCTCGCCTACCAATCCTGGGGGTCGCGCGAGTTCAATTCCAGCCCCCCTTCAAAAACATTATTTCTTTTTGCTCTTTTTTGCAATCGATTCAGCTCATTCTCTAGATACAATTTGATGTTTTCAATTTAAAAATCTGCCATTTTGAGGATTTTGGCCTAGTCTGGGGTCTGTTTTGCACGCAGTAAATGATTTATAGCGGAACTAGGGAACCGGAGGGTAAAATGAAAAATATATCATTCAATGCAGAATTTCTTGGCGCATCTTTCTATAGTAAAAAGAAGTTACCCTCGGATACCCGTAAAATAGAAAATCTAAAATTACTGTTTCGGGTACGTTATATTTCTATGTTCCGCTCATTTTCGTGCTTCACGATGTATTAAAGAAATGATCCCCATCCCAAATTAGGCATTTGCACAAATTTTCAGCCAATTTGGTTCAGTAGTTTTCGAGATAATTTTTGAGTGTCTGCAACTTTGACTGGAATTTAAACCCCGAAAAGATAACTTCAAACTTTTAAAACTATGCAGCCCTACCAATTCGACCATGCTCTTTCCGATGCCGTCAAAAAACGG